TCAAAGATGATTAACTTAGTACGAAAAAAAGTTTTCTTTGGACAATCACTAGAAAATTTCTACTTTCGCACCTATAGAACCACGTCACGTTTCACTATGATCATTCTTCAGTTGACTGGAGAATCGTCAATTAAAGGATTATTATCCCAATAATGTTTGGGTGTAAATTTAGCATTGTTGGATAATGGTAAAGGTCGTGCAATTTTGTTGCATAAATTTTGATTATATCAAATAGAAGAACATTCAATACATATATTTCCTTTTTCAGCAAATCCAGTACAAGTTTTTGCACGTACTGCATTATCTTTAATAAATTATAATATTAGTATTAAAAGGTATAGTATTATAAGAATTAGATTAATATTTTTTAATAAATTATATACTTGACCGATCAATTTGCCAAACCGATTCTGCAAAAAGTGCACAATTTAATTGTCTTTTTTGTTTAAAATTTAACTTTTTTCTACTAAATTTTTGTAAAAATAGATGAGGAAAAAGTTCACGTGCAACAATTTCAATATGGTGGCAACCACTAAATTGTGCAGAAGTTCGTTTTATATATTTTGAAATTTCTACAGACTGGAGGCCAACACAAATTAACCGCTTCTTATTGTTTTGTGTATAATCTAATTCATTTATACTTATGCTTAAAATTCTTGATTTGAATCTTGATCTATTTCATCAATTTGTATTAAGTCATCATTATCTATATTATCATAAACATCAAAGTCATATTCAATTTCTTTATCATATCCCTCCTCTCTATAATGTTCTTTTTGCTCTACTGGTTGAAACTAATTGTAAATCGTTCTTTGCCCTTCATTTGCTTTACATCCAGAACATTGAATATGACAATTAAGATAATTCTCCTCCTATTTTCTATTAAGTTTGATTGTTTTACCACATATACATACTACTTTTTTGAGATGTATAATGCAAGCGACATATTTGTGTTTTAAAAGTCTTTCAAAACTGTGTTTCCAACCTGTCATATTTTAAACGTTTTAGAAAAGATCAAAGTTTTTTTTTAATACATAAATTATAAAGTTTACGATTTTTACTAACCTATTCGTTATCGCTCATGCTATATTTTCTTTTTTGACTAAAGCAGTATAATATTTTTTACAAAAAATTTTTGTGAATTTAGATTCACGTTCATTATATATTAACTATCAAAGTATAAATTTGTTTATAAAATTATTACTTTTTATTCTTAGAGATTCTCTATTGAACTATATACTGGAGTTTTTAATAAAATTATTAAGATTGAACTTATTTTCCATTTATTCAAATATTGTTAGACTATTAGAATAAGTAGAGTTCATTCATAAAACCAACCACTCGAAATCTTGACTAATTTACATATTGCAGTATTGTTTATCGTTATTGTTTTACGTATTCAAAGCTAATAAACTTTAAAAACAAATTGTAATATTCATCATACATATCATAATTATGTAATAACGAATATTGGAAATATCATACGGGTTTTTATACAAGTTTTCTGAAATATCCAGTAATTTTAATTTAGTAAAATTTCGAAGTTTTGTTTCTCTAAAAACTTCATATTGGAACATCATACATTTATAGTTAGCACTTTCGCATTCACACAATATTGGATGAGACTTTTCTCCATACCAGCATCTACTTTGAACCAACACTTGAAGCAACTAGGATGTAGCGCACAGTAGGGTTAGCATTTTTGTTATTATGATTTTTTATTAACAATGAAAAAGCAATATATTTGCTTATTAATTACTCTATTCCTATTTATATATGATCTGGCTTTACTACGTAACTATTAATTGATGATGCATATTTAATGTATGATTATACATAAACTACAATAAACTCAACAAACTGACAATATACACATATAACTGACCAATCATATTACATTAGTATTATACTACATTCTTACACAAACCCTAATGATCGAGATCCATGCTAATGTAAGTAAAATGCTTATACTATTGGGCAATTGAAATACTAATCATAATTTGCATGAATTACACTGGTAAAATTTAAAAAATTGTCTTGTTGAATAGCATGATTCGAATGCCATTCGAATGGCACGATTCGAATGCCATTCGAATGCCATTCGAATGCTATTCAAACAGCCATTCAACACTATCATATGACTTCGCGGACATGCATGTTCGTGAAATCATGTGATAGTGTTGAATGGCTGTTTGAGTGGCATTCAAATCGTGCTATTCAACAAGACAATTTTTTAAATTTTACCAGTGTTATGTATTATTTTCTAAGTTCAGATCAAATTTTGTGCACATATTGGGGACACCCATAGCAAAAGCAGGGGATGGGACTATATAATATATAGTCCTATCTAAAAATGCTAGTAAAATAAATTAGAATAGTGAAATAATTTCACCACGATTGGTGAAATTGGTGAAATTAATCTTACCAGCATCTCTAGTTCCATCCCCTGCTTATGCTGTGGGAGTCTCATGCTTGCTCTCAAAATGACCATTAGTCTCCCAAATTCTAATAAATTTTAATCCTAACAATCAAGTAAGGTGTTTAAGAATTAATGCGACATGAACCTAAATGAGATATAATGCATAATAATAATTATTTTATAAAGTAACTTAGTCATTTTTGTTAATATGTTGATTGATAAATAGTTTACGCACAATATAAAATGAATATAAATGCTACAAACGAAGGTACTTCCCAAGCAACTCCAGAAATCTAAAGCCTTCATCTTTGACGATCAGTGATTACACTAGTCAAAATGAAAAAATCAGTATCAGTTCACACTAGTTGAAACTATATTCATGAGTTACTGAATATACTGAATGTATGCTAGTAATTGTCGGCATTCTGCAAGCATTCTGCAAGTTCTGTCAATTTTCGGCTAGTTGGCCGGCTGAATATTGGCAGAATACTGACAGGATGCCGACAAAACCAGTGTACATTCAGCACATTCGGCAGGCCATCAATATAGGTTCAACTGATGTAAACTGATACTGATTTTTTCATTTGAACTAGTGTTATCAACTCATCTGACTGGTAAAAAAAAAAAAGAAAAAAATTAAAATATACCAAAACCCAGAAAATAGGTATTTAAATCTAAGTTGGTCACTCTAAAATATATTTTGCTCTTACATTCTTACATTTCTAATTGTACTGGTAAAATTTCAAAAGTAGGCACTCGAATCAGATTTCAAGATCAGATGTAACGTAATATGATCAAGAAGATTCAAAACAAACGTCCATTTTGTCAGAAATCACCTATTTCTTGAAAATCTGCATAGAAAACCACCTTTAGTGCTTTAACAAAAAGTTCTCGCTAGACAATTTTAATATATAAACACCCTTTCCTAACCTTAACCCAAACCCTAACATAAACAAACTTTCGAAGCATTTTTGCTGCGCTATAAACCTGGCACACATTTAAGCAAAGCTAGTAGTTCAAATAACAATTTGGGTGGCATTCGAGTTTTGTTGTTCAACAAGACGAATTTTATCAGTCTGGTAAATTTTAAATCAAAGTTTATTGTACAAACTAAAAAAAAAACAATGCAGATCTTAATATATGTGTGATAAGTATATACAGTATAACTTGTATTTAATAAAATGCTGAAAACTGTGTATTTTTAAATATCAACCCGGATTTGATTGTCTATATAAAAGCTTACTTATTATTACTAAATATATGCTAAAAATACGTAAATCGATCTCTTACATATGAAATTTTGATATATATATACGCAATTTAAAAGTCTAACCTTCTTAATAATTTTTTTAAAAAATATGCAAATATTAATTTAACTTTATTTAGTACTTCTATGATGGTGACGCATTCTTAAACCTGACCTATATATAAATATTTCGGGGTCCTGTCTACTTAGTACTAAGCACTAATTGTAATTGCTAATTATTAAGCGTTAAATATTAAATGCTAATTGCTAATCACTAAGCATAATTGCTAATTGTAATTGCTAATTATTAATCGCTAAGTATTAAGTGTTAAGGCTAATCATTATATATTTTTTTTAAATCCTTCTCTAAGATAAATATAATAATAACTAATAACTAAATACAAATATCAAAATAATAAAATAATACTAAGATAGAATAATAAACTAATAAAATAAAACTGTTCTATAACAGTAGTATTTGCGATGCTAGCAGAAAACTTAATTTTGGTATTGTTTTCTAAAATCTAACCAATATCAGTTTTAAGATTAGCTATTTGTATATTTTTAATTAAGGCATCTATATAAAAGTAGAGATTTTCTAGTAAGCCTAGTAAGATCTGATGATAGATATTAATAAGTTCTGTTTGATATATCAGAGTGTTAATAAAGTTAGTTATTTGTTCAATATTTAGATTTTATATTTGAATATTAGTGTTTTCTAAAGTAGTAGATTGATAAAGAGAGAAGAAGATTTATATTAGTAATAGTATTTCTTGATAGTCAATAGAGAGTTTGTAAAATTGTTTTTTTTTTTAACTTGCAAAGAAAATTAATAGTAGAAAAAAAGAAAATTATAGATATTTATGAAGAAGGTTGCCAATCATTATAAGTGTATTAGTAAAAGGATTAATATTTTCAAGTTGAGTTGATGGCAGGTTAAAGGTATGTATTATCAGTTGTTAAGTTTTTTATATATTTATACTATAAGAAAATTAGACCTCAAAGTAATATATGTATTCAAAGGTATATATTGTTTCAAGGTAAAAGATATTGGTTGTTAGATATAAGAAGTTGTTTAATATAAAGGATTTGATTATTTTTAAAGTTTTAGATAGTTGATAGTTTAGGATTTGAGTGAATAAAGTTGTAGATTAAGTTTAGTTTATAGTTATTTAAAGAGTTATTTGTTTTATTGATTAGATTATTAATGTTGATATTATATTAGAAGATATAGGTTAGAAGAAAAAGATTAGTGAAGTTTGCTATTTTTGTTTATATTGTTGGATTATATGTATAGAGATTGTTGGTTACCAAATTTTTTGAAGCCATTCTTTTATTTGAAGTTCAAAATTTTGTTTTAAAAGAAAAGATGAATTAATAGTTTTTTTGATTATACTATAGCTAGTATAGGTAAGAATTTTATAAAAAGTGAAAATGCTTAAGAGTTGAAGATTTGTAAGAATATCATTGTTAGTTTAAGTGAAAGTTTAAGAGTTCTTTTTATTTGTTTAGTAATAGAACTAGAGAGCTAAGTAATTTTTTGGTTTGTGAGAGAGATAATTTATAGAAGATATTCTAGAAATAGTATTAAAAAGTTGAAATATTTAATAGGTAAAAGTTTTTTATATTGTATAATTTTGATAAAATTATCTGTTTTGTTTTGTATTTTATCTATTGTGGGTTGAATAGAACTTACTCCATCAAAGTAGATACTAAGATATCTGATAATATTAGTAGGTTTTCTTGCTTTGATACTTTTATTATTAAAAGTAATTTCTAATAGTAGTTCTTGATTTGAGGTTTTTTTGGAGTAAGGTTTAAGATGAAAAAGATCAGATTTTGATGGGTTGACTTGTATGTTGTTAATTTTGTAAGTTGTTCAACATTCTTTAGTAAACATCGTAAGTTAAATTTAGTTTCATAATACTATACAGTATCATCTATATATGCAAGTGGCAGAATAATAATTTGTATAGGTTGTATATTATGAACTTGTTCAATAAGAGATAATGTTTTAATTTTAAGAAAAGAATTTTGGTATTTGGTATTTATAAATGATAGGATGGAGTCATAGTAGATCTTCTAAAGAAAAGATGAGTATATTTTTCCTTGTTCAATATCTGAGTAAAGTGTAATTAGGTCTATTAATCTATAAACTGTTATGACTTTTGCTTTCTAATCAAGATGTAAGTTTGTGATAAAATTTATGTCTTTTGGGGGTATACCAATTCTTTTGCATACTTGTGCAAGCTGTTGAATATTAATTTTGTTAAAAGCCTTAGACATATCTTAAAAAAGTATCTAGGCTTCTTTTTTGTTATATTTAT